GTGTGTGTGTGTGTGTGTGTGTGTGTGTGTGTTGTGTGGATACATGTATGTGTGCATACGTAAATGTTGGACAAATATTATTGCATGGCTAGAGTTAGCTTAGGATTGGCCAGGGTTAGCAAGGGTTAGACAAATGACATAAAACTGATCAGGCTTAGAAATGAACCGTGTAATTTTATAAAATTAAACTCTTTCCCCAAATGTATTAGCAAAAAGGAGAAAAAAAAAGCTATCATCACTTCTTGGAATCTTTTTTTTTTCCTTTCCTATATTTCATCAATTTTTTCTCGTCTCTCTCCCACTCTTTCTCTCCCTCTTGCTCTTCCTATGCTTTTTATTTTTTTAAAAAAGTTTTGTCTTATCTTATTAGATAATTTGAATTGATAATGAGAATGATAAGGATTCATTAATTGTTACATTTACTGAAATAAATAAAGCATAAACATTTTCTCATGCATTTTGTTTGATATAATTTTACAGAAAGAGAGAAAAAAAAGAAAGGAAAAGAAAAAAGAAAAAATTTTTTAAAATTTGCTGAGATAAGATAGAAATCATTTCTTATTACAAAATTTGTTCATCAATTGATAAATTTTCTAATTCAAGTATTACATGAAATTTCATGGTCCATTTATTTATTCGCTTAAATTCTAACTTTTATTAAGTTATTTGATGTTTTATTCTTCTATTTTTTCATTTTCAACAAAAGATTACTTCATCTTGTTAGATTAAAGAATTGAACTTGATTCATAAATACTTAATTAAAGATTTAAGTTAAAGATAAGATAATAAGATAAATTAAAGGTAAGATAATAATTATGATAATGTATTACATAACAAATTGAAATATAAGCAATTCGGGTTTGAAAATTTTATAGCTAGTCAATTCAGGATAATTTACTAATTCAAGAAAATTCCGGATCAGCATGTCTTTAACAAAACTTGTGAAATTCTTGCATAAAAATAGAAAAGAAAAACGAAAAATGGAAAAGAAAAAGATTTTAGTGATAGAATGATATGATAAAGCAAGATAACAATGCATGTTGTAACTTCATATAATCATAGTTCTAATACAAAATAGCTAATGCCAAAAGTTATTTCCAACAGATATTCTAAATTAACGGATGAATGAAAAAATTCAACTCCTTCGAAATGCAATGTAGGATTTAGCATGAAACATAGTAATCAACTGAATGTTTAATAATTTTAAAAATAAAAAGGTAAAATTAAAACCAAAATGTTTTATATAAAAATAACATAGAATGTGGTATTCAATCTCTAAAGCAACTGTCAAATAAATATTTTGAAAATTTTAACAGTAAAAAAGTAACTACAAAAATATTTTTAAGTGCAGTAAGATGAAGTAGGATGAATACAGTACCTGTTTTAAAATACAGTAGTCAATTAAATATTTTGTAAATTCTAAAAGTTAAAGAAAATAAAACAAATGCAGAATATAAACCTGTATTACTCGCATATTAAGACCAGTTTCCTTTGCTAATTGCTCCCTGATATGTCTTGTTGGTTTTGGTGTTGAAGCAAATGCTGCTTTCAACGTATCCAGCTATAAATTAAAATACGAAAAAAAAACAAAAAGTAAACAAATAAACAAATAAATGAATAAATAAATACCATAGTAAATTTTAGTACTGAAAAAAGCTTAATACTTTACTTCAAACAATTGAAAATAAAATGATGAATTTTCGGAATAATAGTCTAATTTTTTGAATTATTTTAGATATTTTTAAAATGCTTCAAGGATTTTCAACATTTAATTAATTCAAAAATACATTTATTTCGATGTTTTAGAATTTAACAGATAGATACATAATATTTCCTAAATATCATTTACGAATTTAATTTAATAACTGTGTGTCTCACAAAGAACAATCTTAACAAATAATATGTCATTGATAATACCTGCTTAGCTTTAATGGTAGTTCGTGGTCCTCTCCTTTTTGCTGATGCCGACATATCATCCATCTTATTGGCTAATAACGATTCACCATTACTCATTTCTTGTGGTTCCGTTGAATTTGATTCTTCTACAAGTAAAGTAATTGCTAATTGAATCATCGAAAAAAAGTACAATATTTGCGATTAATCAGTTTTTATACTAATTAATTCAAATTCAATTTCCGTTACGTGCAAAATTTCAACTAACTCATTAAGTTAAATGAAATTTTGAATTAAACAAAAAAATCCAAAACAAAAATATATTTACTCAACAAAAAACAATATTATTTTTAATATACCAATGTCATCACTTGCTTCATCACAATCATCGTCAATATCTTCAGAGCCACATTCTGAACTACCACCACCGGAGAATAAATCTGCAAATTATGATGCTCTTATCGAGTTACCAGATTAGTACTGAACTTATTATACTAATTAATACTGTATATTGTTGAAATTTCAATTTGATCATTTTCAAAGCAACTGTTAAATGTTTCGAAAAAATTTTCATAGATTAAAATCTGATAAGTTATCACATAATTTATGATGCTTTGGTTTCATTAGTTTAATTAAAACACTATTATATTATATACTGATTAGATGTAATTAATATTGCAATGATATTCAAATTACATATCCGTTAGATCGCCAAGACTATTTAAAATTGTGATTAAGATATTATTAATTTCCTAAAATTGTGTTTGCATTTCAGTCACACGAATTGTCTACTTTAAAAAATATTAAAAATATTTAATAGCGTTAGCTTGCTTCAAAATTTTCCATTTATTTATTGCATCATTTTTTTCTTAAAACATTTGTTTAAACGATATTTAAATCTTCATATATTCAGGTATTCAAATGTTCTTTCATTTATTGCTTTCATCATTTTAATCGATATTCAGATTATTTTTTATCCTTCTCTTCGCCATTATTTGAAATAATTCAAATATTAATTTTTTTTCCCTTTTTTGAGATATTTTAACTGACATTTTGATATTTTGATATTCAGATATTCACGACCGCTTTTTTAGAATCATTTCAAAATGACATTGGAAGTTTTTAAACCACTTGCAGTTTCCCCTTTTCTTAAACAATTTAAATTGACATACAAATAAATATTCAAATATTTACATCTCCGATTCTTCTTTCCCTCTCTCTCTCTCTCTCTCGCATTCTCCCACAGTCTCGCTTCCTCTCTTTTCTCAACCATTTTTAACAGTATTAAGGAAAATAGAAAAAAATAATATTCATCGAAAAAAAAGGCAAAAACAAATATGAAATTCAAAAAAATTCTGATCAAACAAACATTCCCTCTTTTCCTTGTATCTCTTTTTTTGTTTTAACTAATAATAACAATTTCAAATAGAAATGGTAAGTAATTGATATTTGCCCTTGGAAGAAAAGAGAAAAAAAGAATGAAAAATTAGAATTAATGATAGTAATGTAGCGGTATCAATCGGTGTGTTTTGTATTCATAAAATCAATTTTTCAATTGATATAATAAAATACCATTTTAAGGCAAATCATTGATTGTAACGAAAAGGGAAACAAAAAGATGGAGAGAATGAGTCCTTTCTTTAAGTGTTTTTGCTTTTCTCCCTTTGATAAATGCGATCTTTTCTCAAACGTACTTTTTCACTCCCTTTCATAAATGCAACCATGAGGACATGATATCAATCTGAATATATCACTTATAATATCACTGAGAGAAAA